ACCTGCCCCATGGCCGCTGGTGTCTTATATTTCCACCGTCGTCATCGTTGACTCTGTCGATGCCAAATGCATCGGCGCTCTCCGTATCGGATCGATGATGTTATTCCTCGTCCAATCCTTGAACTCAGCGGATCGACTGCGGTAGGTGTCGATGCCCCGGGGTATTGGGGCAAACTTGTTGCCAGGGCAGTGGTAACGAACAGGCATGTCAGGGTATTACGGTATTACGAACGCGCTCTACTGTACGAGTTGTGCAAAAACCTCCTTAAGTTTATTCGGCATGTCAGGCTTCATGGTACGACCCACCTTCTGCGACTGTGTAAATCTGGTCACCTCCGTATACCCTGTGTAAATTTTGTGACAAAGCACCAACCCGTCTCCTTCATGTAGACCCTTCGAGATTCCCGGACGGCCCTTCTCCCAAGATTCTGTCGTTGAACAAATACCAAAGGTCGTCGTCCAGCTTATCGGAATCACCGCCATGTAACTCGTAACCCTTATTTGCATCGTCGTCTTGCTTCTCCTTTGCCTGCGAAGCTGGCAAAGGAACTACCAGAGGGTGAAGCTTCCGTTCGCTATCTGCATAAAAACGATGGTCCTCGTCATCGGGTACGGCTCCATACACGGTTCCAAGTCAATCCCTTGCATCATTGAATTCTTTCCGATAGTCAAGTGGTACCTGCGCGAATACGTTCATGAATTTCACGCCCATTCCCTGAAAGCGGCTCTGTCGCCGTAGAAGCCTTAACGCAATACATGAACATCCCATCTTCTCCCTCCTCCACCTTCTGTCCTCCTCCTCCTCCTCAACCTCCTCCTCCTCCTCCTCCCCCTTCTCCACCTCCCCCTCCTCCCCATATCCCTTCTCATCCACCCCCCTCCCCCCTCCTCCTCCCCCTCGCGTCCGTTCCCCTCGTCTTCCTTCTCCCCCCTTCCTCTCCACCGCCCCCTCCGCCCCTAGTCCCTGTGAATAACTCCTCCCTGTCGTGCCCCGACACCGGTCGGTAGGGCGGACCTGGCCGTTTCATGATCGTCGTGGAACTTGAAATTTGCGACAGCCTCACGGATGGAAAGCGGATCGTTTTCGAAATGCGTCTTTCGCATCAGCGCCGCGCACACGCGCTTAAACTTCGCCAGGGCTTCACGGATGAAGGGCGGGTGTTCAAAGTGCGTTCTTCGCCTTGGCGCCGCGTGGAAGGCGACTCCATATTCAGAAGTTGGTTATCGTTTCAGTGACGCGCGCATTTGTTAAATTACCCTGCGACGTTCCCAACCCAATGGCATCAAGTGGCAAGCGGATCAGGGAAACATGAGCAGGAACCGTGACAGCGCAGGCGCGGCGATTTGCAATGCGACCTACATGGGATGCGAAATTATGCACGACTCACCGAACAGCAATCGATAAGACGAGGAGTAGGTCTCAAGGCTTGTTAAACAATACCGGGGGCGGGAACGAGGGGCAAGAGAAGGGCGAACCTAATGGGAAGGGGCGAGGAGCCATCGTGGCAACAGCAGCATGAATGCATAAGGTGACAGGAGGACTAGGGCGGCGATGATGAAAGAGGAAGGAGGAAGCAAGAGACTGTTTCGTTTTTGCAGGAGCTCGGTCAACGCATGCCTGCTGCCTGTCCACAGGATCATACCTGCTTATATCTAGTGCAATAAGCGATCGAGACCTAGCTCGCGCGCCAGCTTCTCTGCCTCCTTCCTGCATGTTGCCGTGCGGGAACTGAACTTCCGCAGTTTCTCTGCAAGGTCTGCCGGTGGGCCGCGGGCGAGAAAGTCAAGGCAGGGGTCGCACACCATCAGTAAGTTGTCTATCGTCGTCGCCCTGGGCAGCATCACGTAGACGCGCAGCCATAGTGCGTCCAGGTCGTTCGCATCCTTGCACCCTGCGTCAACAATGACTCCGCGGTGCATGGTGCGGCCCTGGCAGGCAGTGGACGTCAGGACCTCGGCGTGGAAGATGACGAAGCCAGCGCGCGTGACCTTGTACTTGCGGAGGTCGAACGGGCTCGAGCTCGGTGGCTCGATGAAGACGAGGCCCGCAACGTTCGCAGCGTCGATGCTGTCATCGAGCTCCTTGAGCTTCTTTCCGCAGGGGCCACCCTTGTACTTGTCCATGCGCACCCACACGCCGTACGGCAGGTACCGCAGGTACGCCCGACCTCCCTCGGCCTTCGCTCTCTCCACCACGCCCTCATCCTTCGGGTTGATGGCCACGTGCACGACCTCGCCCTCGGCGTCCTTGACGAGCCCCTTGTCGAGGTCCAGGTGCTCCAGCAGTCGTATGCGCATGCCCACGTGCAGCGGCTGCATCCCGTGAATGGGCCCCTCAGCAGCCCTCGAAAGTGGCGACAGCTCCACAAATCGCAGCCCCTCAGGGATTGCGAGGTCTAATCTGAGTCTGCGGTGAGTACCCACTGTGCTGGGCCCCTCAGCAGCCCTCGAGCTTCACAGATCGCAGCCCCCCAGGGATGGCGAGGTCTAATTTGAGTCTGCGGTGAGTACCCACTGTGCTGGGCCCCATCAGCAGCCCTCGAAAGTGGCGACAATTTCACAGATCGCAGCCCCCCAAGGACGGCGAGGTCTAATCTGAATCTGCGGTGAGTACCCAGTGTGCTGGACCCCTCAGCAGCCCTCGAAAGTGGCGACAGTTTCGCATATCGCAGCCCCCCAGGGATGGCGAGATCTAATTTGAGTCTGCGGTGAGTACCCACTGTGCTGGGCTCCTCAGCAGCCCTCAAAAGTGGCGACAGTTCCACAGATCGCAGCCCCCCAAGGATGGCGAGGTCTAATCTGAGTCTGCGGTGAGTACCCACTGTGCTGGGCCCCTCAGCAGCCCTCGAAAGTGGCGACAGCTTCACAGATCGCAGCCCCACAGGGATGGCGAGGTCTAATTTGAGTCTGCGGTGAGTACCCACTGTGCTGTGCCCCTCAGCAGCCCTCGAAAGTGGCGACAGTTTCACAGATCGCAACCCCCCAGGGATGGCGAGGTCTAATCTGAGTCTGCGGTGAGTACCCACTGTGCTGGACCCCTCACCAGCCCTCGAAAGTGGCGACAGTTTCACGGATCGCAGCCCCCCAGCGATGGCGAGGTCTAATATGAAGCCCCGTAAGACGTCACTCTGCTCGCCCCACAGCAGCCCTCGAAAGTGGCGACAGTTTCACAGATCGCAGCCACCTAAAGATGGCGAGGTGGAGGGAAGAGAGGAGCAAGGGAGGAGAGGAGGAGGGAAGATAGGAGAAGGGAAGCAAGAGAGGGGAGAGGAGGAGGGAAGAGAGGTGGAGGGAGGCGGGAGGAAGGAGTGGAGACCGCAATGCTCTATTCAAAACGAGTGCCCAACGCAGGAGGGTTGGGAAAAATGTGTAATGCTTCGCTGGTGGATGGCAACTTGTTTTCAATGTGTGGCTCTCGCCCGAGCACCGTGCACATTCGTCTTCACACATATTGCAAGAGCTTCACGGATCGAGGGCGGCTCCTTCCTCAAAATGTTAATCGAACGTGGTTTTCCTTCAGCATCGCGTACATGCGATTTGAACCGTTGCAATAGTTTGCCGGATTCCAATGGCTAGGATCCAAGAGACGGTGCTTCGGAAGGATGCAGGACTGTCATGTCAGGGCGCAGCAGTTGCTATCACTCGCGGTGTTGGAGTCCCACGGACGGCGAATTTGCACGATTCAGGATTGTCCAGGCGCAAAGGAAATGTGATGCGTGGCGTTGACGTCCCAGGACTGGTGCTGGCACGCTTCAAGATTTTCACACGGTTGTCTGCCAACGGGGAACTTCCCCCAGTGGATGTGACTTCTTGTAGGGGCCTGTGGAAAAAGAAGCGTGAAGGGAGGGTTTCGCGCAACATCGTTGAGGAGTCTTGGGTTTGCACTGGTCCTCCTCCTCCTGCACAACGACGGCGACGACCTCCTCCTGGCGGGGCGGCGCCTGCTTGGTGCCCGGGAAGAGCAAAGGGTCGGCCATGACCGGGGGGAGGCGGGGGGGCGGTCCTCCCCTCCGCCGCGAGCCCCGCGCGCCTCGAGACGCACCCCTCCCTTCAAGCCACGGCGAGAGGGATCTGAGGGCTGCTTTCGGCCTCCTGGGGGGAGGAGGGAGAGGGTGCAGTAGGATGGTGGAGGCAAGGGGGTTTAAGAGCAATGAGGAGGCTGAGGAGGAGGAACAAGACGGAGGGATGGGTAGGCGGAGGGAGAGGACGGACAGGGCAGGGAGAAGGGGAAGGAGGTGGAGGAGAAGGAGGACGGAGAGGATGAGGGGGAGGAGAGAGACCCAAGGGAGGAGGAGCTTCGGAGAAGGCCAAGTATCCCCGAGAAAGCTCCGTCATCGATCATATTCGAATCCACGCACGGTGCGGGAGGCCCGCTGCGAGACGCGCAACTCGGCCGAAACCCGCCGTCTCGCAATCCGAGTGCCCACATCCGATTGACCCTCTCCGACTCGTGCGAAGGACGCAGTGCGGGCGCTGTCGGGTATATATATATATATATATATATATATCTCTTGCAACAGAGAGGAGGAGCATGGAGAGTGCCAACGGCTGGAGCACCGACGACGGCAACGACACGCCCAGTAGCGGCGTCTGGGGCAACTCGAGCAGGTAGCGAACAGGACAACACGAGGACTCGCAGCACATGGTGCACCAGGGATCAGGGCGGCGAAGAGGCTCTGAGCAGGAGACAGCACGAAGAACGATGCCTCTGAAAAATAGGTCCTGAGCTGTTTTGCCACGCTCAGTCACTTGGGCGCCCTTACCAGGCCCTGGGGCCGTGAAGAAGCGGCTCAGGACCCGGACATCCGACGTCATCTCTGTTGCACACGGCGGACCCCAGGAGAAGCTAGACCCTCTTTCCCAAGAGCCGGCCTTCCACCCAGAGACTCTGCCCGACGGTCGGGAAGTGGAGCGGCAGGCCGAGGAGCAGCAGGGGGAGGCGGAACACTCTTGCTGTGCTGCTGGTCTTTCTCACCGCCGCCGGGCGGCGGGGAGAGGACTCAGTCTTCCGCGCCAGACAGCTCGCCGAACAGCGGGGCCAGGCCCTCGCACGGCCCCTCGTCGCCGTCGTCGCCGTCCTCCGCCGCGCCCTCCGCCGCGCCCTCCGCCGCAGCCGCGAGCCGATCGATGGCCAGCCTGGCGGGCGGGGCGCGGTTGCCGCCGCCTGCCTGCCTGCAGCTGCTGCCGCCGCCCTCTCTCGGCCTGCCCCTCCACCTTCGCATGCGCCTCCTCCTTGTGCCCACCTCCTCCTCCCCACCCTACCCCGCCGCCTCCTCCCCATCTCTCTCCATTTCCTCCTTCTCCTCCTCCACGTTCCCCGCTGTCTAGTGTTCCTCCTCCTCCTCCTCCTCCTCCTCCTCCTCCTCCCCTTCCTCCTCTTGTCGCTCCTCTCCGTGCCCCTCCTCCTTTTCCTGCCCTCCTGCCTGCCCCCCTTTCCCTCCTCCCTCCTCCTCCTCCTCCTCCTCCTCCTCCTCCTCCTCCTCCTCTTCCTCCTCCTCCTCCTCATTCTCCTCCTCCTCCTCCTCCTCCTCCTTCTCATCCTGTTGCTCGCTGAGCTTCGCGGAAACGCCTGGCGACGTCCTCGAAGGCCTGGACGGCACCAGCTCTCGGCGTGCCCGGAGGAGACACGCAGATCCAGCCGCCGCCTGGGGAGTCGCCGTCGCCTGGTCGTCGTCTGGTCGCCATGGTCGTCTGGTCATCGTCGTCTGGTCGCCGTCGTCCGCCCCTCGTCGTCAACGTCGACGCCGTCGTCGTCTGGTCGACGTCGTCGTCATCGTCTTTGTCGTCCAGTCCTCGTCGTCGCAGTCGGCACCGTCGGTCCTCGCCGTCGCAGTCGGCGCCGTAGGGGAGGGGGGGGGGCGGCAGTGAGGGAGGGAAGGGGAAGGGGGAGGGGGGAGGAGGGAAGGAGGCGGGAGGAGAGGGCAGGGGCGGGGGGGGGGAAGGGGAGGAAGGGAGGAGGGGAAGATGGGAAAAATGTGATTAAGGGACGAGGGATGGGGATTCTCAAAAGAGGCAAGGGGGAGACCAGAGGCGAGCCTTCTCCTGATACCCCCTGCCCTGTTGTTGCTACTCCTTCTCGTGCTCCCCATTCTCCCCCGGGGCGGGGAGTGGACAGGGAGAGAGATAGAGCGATACAGAGGCCAAGGATACGAGGAGAAAAAGGAGGAGGAGGAGGAGGAGGAGGAGGAGGAGGAGCAGGAGGGCGGCGAGGAAAGGGGGTGGGCGGGAGGGCAGGGCCTTCTCTTGTACCTCACTGGTTACCATCAACCCTCTGTTCTCGCCCCCCCCCTTGGAGGAGAAAGCGGGAACGAGAGAGAGAGAGAGAGCGAAAGAGAGAGAGAGAGAGAGCGAGAGACAGAGAGAGAGAGAGAGAGCGAGAGAGAGAGAGAAGGCAGGAGAGGAGGGGGAAAATGTGGGAGGAGGGGGGGCAGGGGAATGAGAGAAGGAGGGGGGAATGTGGGAGGCAGGAGAGGAGGGAGGAAATGGGGAGGAGAAGGGGGGGAGAGAGAGAGAGAGAGAGACAGGGGGAAGGATGGAGGGGACGGCGTCCGGGAGGGGGGAAGCACGACCGGAGGATTTTGGGAGGAGGGCGGTAGCGGGGAAGGAGCATGGGGGAGCAACAAGACGTGACAAAGAAGGGAGCAGGGGGGAAGCTGCGCGAGGGAGAGCAGCGGGACGAGCGCGAGGCGCAGAGCAAGCCAGGATAGGACGAGGAAGAAAACAAAACGAGTAAAGCTTGAGAACGAGGAGGAGGAGGAGGAGGAAAGATCAAGCAGACTGAGCAACCCGACTGACTTCTCAACGAAGGTTCGGAGTTACGTGAAAGACAGCCACGCAAAGGGGTCCAGCTCAACTGTTCCCCTGGGGCGAAACAAGAATAATTGACGTTTGACTCAGGCTCTTGGAACCTCAACCATTCCTTGGTAGGAGGCCCAGGAGTCGAGAAGGTAGACGAGGTCGACCCGATACGATGCAAAGGCGTTGGAACTCGCTTGCCTCTGATGCGAACCCCCATCTGAAACACGGCTTAATGCAGCAGGATGCTCAGTGGCCGGGAGCGCCAACAGGAAGATGCCACTTGATTCCAGTATCAAAGACTTGACGTTGCACTAGTGGACCACGTCGTGAAATTTTCAAAGGCGGACCAACAGCTACGTCGAAAGACGCCACTCTTGATGTAACACAAGGAACACGTCGACGTGGACCCTGGAGAAAACGGTGTTGAGTAGATTAGCTATATACATGGATTGTGGAACGGGCGGTAGCCATCATTCTGCCTGCTGCCTCGTGCCTGCGGCATACATTCATCCACAAGCTTCAATCGATCACACACGTACTGGCAATGTAATTCCCTGGGCAATTACTTGCGATCAACTGCCCCATCACTATTGCTAGGCTGGTCGGCCAAGACCGAATCTCTGCCATCACGGACAAAGATGCAAATCTCGATGTTGTCGCACTGCTGCCTACGCCCAAATATGGCGAAACTTGCCCGGCCCTGCGCCAGAGAAACAGCGTGAACGTGAACGGGCCCATCGAAACGAAGGCGATTCTAGAAGAGAGAACCTCATCATTGCCTGACATGTGCTTGTGGGAGGAACCGTGCTTCTCATCGGATACCCCCCTGCAAATCGTATCCTACTAGCTTCCACTGTTTGCTGCCGACAACATGGATGGTTAAGGGAAGGACAGGGGTAAGACGGCTCTTTGTGATTGAAGGTTGATGCAGTCCGGCTATGTCGCTTGCTTCAAAATGGAATCATCAATGAATGTGCGCGCCATTGCGACCAAAGCGTCGGGCTCCGCATCCCCGCTTCCCGCTCTCGGCGCTGTCCGTCTCCACAACCGCTCGAGAAGGCCCACATTAGCGCCACGAATGTGCAGTCAGCTGAATTAGTTGGAAGAAGACAACAAATACGAAGAAGAAGCAGAAGAAGAAGAAGAAGGAGGCTCAAATACGCGGCAGAAACACAATTGTCGGAGGTCCGCGTGGAGTGCGAAAGGTGCGGCGTGGGTGGCGCCGCCAAGGGGGCTCCAGTGCCGATCCAAGAGGTCCACGCGGACCGTCAACAATTTTTGTCGAGGCACTTCTACGCTTAGAACCAATGCGCAGTCCGCCTGCCTCCTCCTCCTCCGCCTGCCTCCTCCGCATCCTCCTGCTCCTCCTCCTCCTCCTGCTGCTGCTCCTCCTCCTCTTCCTCCTCCTCCTCCTCTTCCTCCTGGCTACCTCACTTCAGTACGTCTCGCCGTGGCTGCGCTCTCGCGCGGAAGCTGGGTACGGATGCTCTCTTCCGTCGCCAGGGGGCCCAGACCCTTGAGGGAGGCGCGCGCACGAGCAATCGGGGGGATCTACTGTGATGGGCAAATTTTCGACCACCACTACCATGTAGGATGAGGAGGTCCTCACCCTCCTCCTCCTTCTCCTCCTCCTCCCCTCCTACATATGGTAGTGGTGGTGGAAAATGGGCCTATCATACTGACCCCGGGGCCAATGCGAACCAGGGCCAGCTGGGCCTCGCAGAATCCTGCCAGAGCCTGCAGGACATGCAGGACAGAACGAAAACAAAACGAGGATACATTCGGGTGAGGATACATCGAGAATCTCTGAGATCCGGCGGCCGTGGAGGATGTCTCGGGCGCCGTGGCCTTCCCGGAGCGTTCCCGAACGCTCTGAGAGCGTTCCATGACGCCCTGGAGCGGATTCCTCCTTGTCATGGCTCCGTCCGGCAGCACCCTGCGCTCAAGCCAGTGTCAGTGCGACGCTGGCCCTGCAGGAGCCTGCAAGGTCGAGCGTTAGGTCGGGCGTGTCCCCCTACGGGCGGATTCTTGGGGGAAAAATCAACATATTCCCACATGGTCCAAAGACTAAACAAAAATCGTCCCCAGATTTTTTGTTGGACTATTTTTGTGCATTCCTCCTGTAGATGGACGGGCCCGGCTTAAATCTAGCGCCGTGGCGGACCTCCGTTTGCACTGACGCCCGTCTCTCTCTCTCTCTCTCTCTCTGTCTCGCTCGTGAGCCCCCGCAGAGCGTCGACGAGGCGAGGCCCGGCCTCTGCCTTCCTGGCACGCACTGCTGCAGCCAGACCTACAAGCTTCCTCAACAAAAAAAATGAGGCGCCGTTCAAAAATGGGCCCTGGGGCACACAAGAGATAGTCACATATCCCAGGATTCCCCATGTTTTCGAATACTTGTTGGCTTTCGTTTTCCCCCCACTTGCCAAAGTTTCCAACATTTTCCTGGGAGCGGACGATTCATTGTGTCTGTGTGTTGTTCCCCCTCCTGATTTCAAAGTCGAAGCACCCGATAGTTCGGGCCCTTGTCAGAAAGCGCGTTCTTCCATGCTGCGAGGGCACTGCGGGATGTTGGACACCCCTGCGCGTGGGCCAAGCGTTTCATGCCAGCACTGACGCAACGCCGACCGCGCAAACACCGAAAACAACACAGTCTGTTTATATTTGACGAGTCTTGCAAGACAGAGGAACGCCCTTCAAGAACATGAGGCCCTCCGCGGGCCGAAACACACATAATATCCAAGGGTACCTTCCTCAGGATGCACAGGCACATCCAACAAACACGAAGAACCCGGGGGTACCCTCCCTGAACCGACCTCGGTGTTATACCTCGGTCCGACTGTACCATGAAAGAGACCAACGGGAGGCCCCCAAGAGAGGGACAACGCGAACCGAAAGCCCGAGCCTTCCGCTCCGAGATGCCCCCAGGATGCCCCCTGGGGCGCCCAAGAGAACATCGGGAGGGGCGCCACGCAGAACCAAGTTGGCACAACGGAGCCGTAGAGTGGGTAGTTCGGAGCAACATCCTGGCGCAACAGCGCACCATTGTAACACATTGCGGCACAGACGCTTGGTGACATCATACCATTGAGACGCTGCCAGCGGCCGAATCGGAACTTTCTGGGGAATCGCCCAAAGACCGACTCGCCTGCAAGACCAGAGCGTCGCGGGGCCTGCAAGCAAGAGGAAACGCACTGCGGAAGTTGGTGAGGCGAAGACGGACGCGGAATTGTAGATGCCATGGGCCACTTGGGCGGTGCCCTGGTGAACTCTCTGCCAGAGCGAGCGCTCAAGAAGAGTGCTGAAGGGGTGTCTTACTGTGCGCGTGCGAAAGCGGAGCGGTTGCTCTGGGTGGATCACGCCGCGAAGAACGTTCGCGGCCGCAGTGGGCACAGGGTCTCGCTATGCGAATGTGCGCGTTCGTTTCTCCCAACCACCCTGTGGTGTTAGGCCCTCGTTCTGAGGAGACAGACAGTGCCCGGCGTTCCTTCCTTCTTTCCTCCTTGTCCCCCTCCTCCCTCCTCCCTCATCCACCATGCGCCTCCCGCGCCCAGGAGAACGGTTCGGGGCTGCATGGGGGCTCAACGAAAGCCCCATCGGCTGCATTCGCATGCGGTTCCCCATCCAGAACTGCGTTTCGCGTCTCCAAAGAGGTCCCCATCGAAAGCCCCAATGGCTGCACTCGCATGGGTTCCCAGGACAGCGCTACGTGGCCCCGTAGGGAGCCCCACCGAGGGCCCCAGTGGCTGCACTCACATGCGGTTCCTCCACCCAAGACAGCGAGCGCAACGTGGCCCCGTCGGGAGCTCCACCGAAGACCCTGGTGGCTGCACTCGCGTGCGGTTCCCCCACGCGTGTCGTGGCCCCGTCTGGAGCTCCGCTGAAAGCCACAGTGGCTGCACTCGCGTGCTCTTCCCCCACTCAGACAAGCGTTCCGTGGCTCTGTATGGAGTCTCCACCGAAGGCCCCATTGGCTGCACTCGCATGCGGTCCCCCCACCCAGGGCAGCGCTACGCGGCCCCATAGGGAGCTCCACCGAAGGCCTCAGTGGCTGCACTCGCATGCGGCTCCGCTTCTCAGGTCAGCGTTTCGTGGCCTCATCGGGAGCTCCACCGAAGCTCCCAGTGGCTACACTCGCATGCGGGTCCCCCACCAGGGAAAGCCCTTCGTGGCCCCATGCGGAATTTCTTACTCATCCTACTGCCCCTCCTCCTCCTGCTCCTCCTCCCCCCCCTTCTCCTCCTCCATCCGCGTTTGTGCCACCCTCCCTCTGGCGCCCTCTCCTCCCAATGGACGTGACGGGATTGCAGGCGGCGCATATCATATTTTTTTCGCAACGGAAACTTGGAAAATTAGCCTGGCAATGGACCCAACCATATGCAGGTGTGGGTTCCGCAATGTTGAATCTCGTCTTCGATGGAGCTCCCGATGGGTCCACGAAACGCTGTCCTGGGTGGGAGAACCGTACGCGAATGCAGCCATTGGGGCTTTCGGTGGACCTCCCGATTGAGCCGAGAAACGCGGTCCTGGGCAGGGGAACCGCATGCGAGTGCAGCCACCAGGGTTTTCGGTGGAGCTCCCGGCCACGAACCGCTGTCCTGGGCGGAGGAGCAAGTGCAGCCACTGGAGCCTTCGGTGGAGCTCCCTACGGGGCCAGGAAACGCTGTCCGGGGTGGGGGGACCGCATGCGAGTGCGGTCACTGGGGCCCTCGGTGGGGCATCCGATAGGAACGCAAAGCGCTGTCCTGGGTGGGGGAACTGCGTGCGCGTGCAGCCGCTGGGGCCTTCGGCAGAGTAACACGAGCGGTCAGCAGGGGGCAGCAGGAGGAGGATGAGGAGAAGCTAGCTGGGGTGGAAAGTGAGGAGTGAGGAGTAGCATGAGGAGCACGATGAGGTCCATTGGAACCCTATTCCCGATGAATTGGAATAGCAGGCAGGAAAATCTGAACTGGTTTGGGACTGCGCGACATTCCCAAAAAGATATTTTGAGAGGGGAGCAGGGCCCCAACACGCTAGCGTGTACTATGGAACTCTCGTTTTGAGGCGAATTGAGAAACATTGAGACGGATTGAGAGAATTTGAGATCTTTTGAGAGAAATTGAGATATAATTCTCCGTTCAAACCGTGGATTAAGAGAAAATGAGACGAGAAAGGCGGTCCAGTTGAGGACAATTGAGACCGTTTGCGGCGTCCAATCGAAATTTTCAAAAGGGTTTGATGGCAATGCGATTTGGGAGCATGAGGAAAGCAGCAGAAGGATGGGCGGCAGGAGAAGCAGACGGCGAGGACCCGATGGCATAGACCATGGCAACTGGAGCCAAAACATATTTCCCAAACGAGGGCAAACGGTGGAGGATGCACATGCCACAGGGCCTTGTGCTCGTTAGGGGCGCGCTAGAATGCCAAGGGCTGTCGGGCACGCTTTCTGCAAGTCTTCTCAGGGGCTGCCGCCACCCCTCTCGCCGCAGAGCGCCGCATGCATCGGGCCCCGCTTCCCCAGTGAAGAATGACTAATATTCACTCCCGCAACAAGGATCCTCCGTGGAAGTACATCAGGTCCACGCACTCGCGGCAACGATTCCTCGCAAATTTGCCTGGAGATAGCCCTCACCACATGCAGCTGTGGGTTCCGCAATTGTGAATATTTCATCTTCGATGGGGCTCCACACGGGTCCACGAAGCGCTGTCCTGGGTGGGGGAACCGCATGCGAGTGCAGCCACCGGGGCCTTCGGTGGAGCTCCCGATCGAGCCGAGAAACGCGGCCCTGGGCAAAGGAACCGCATGCGAGTGCAGCCATTGGGGCCTTGGGTGGAGCTCCCTACGGGGCCACGAAACGCTGTCCTGGGTGGGGGGGACCGCATCCGAGTACAGCCACAAGGGCCTTCGGCGGAATCCCCGACTGAGCCGAAAAACTTGGTCCTGGATGGGGGGACCGCATGCGAGTGCAGCCACTTGGCCTTCGATGGAGTTTCCGATTGAGCCGAGGAACGCGGTCCTGGGCGGAGGGAACCGCATGCGAGTGCAGCCACTGGGGCCTCGTCGGAGCTCCCGACGGGGCCACGAAGCGCTGTCCTGGGCGGAGGGAGCCGCATGCATGTCCGGCCACATGGGCCTTCGGCGGAACTCTCGATGAGGCCACGAAGCGCTGGCGTGAGTGTTGGAACCGCATGCGAGTGCAGCCACAGGGGCCTTCTGCGGGGCTCCCCATGGGGCCAAGAAACGCTGTCCTGGGTCGGAGGTCCGCGTGCTAGTGCAGCCACCGGAGCCTTCGGTGGAGCCCATATATGGGGCCACGTAGCGCTGTCCTGGGTGGTAGAACCGCATGCGAATGCAGCCACCAGGGCCTTCGGTGGGGCTCCCCATGGGGCCACGAAATGCGGTCGTGGGTGGGGACACGCCTGCGAATGCAACCACTGGGGCCGTCGGTGGAGCTCCCGACGGGGCCACGAGGGGAGGCGATCGCATGCGAGTGCAGCCGCTCGGGCCCTAGGTGGAGCTCCTTATTCGGGCTACGGAACGCCGGCCTGAGTGGGGGAACCCCATGCTACTGCAGCCGTTGGGGCTCTCGGTAGCAACCCCTATGGCGCCACGAAACGCAGTGCAGCCACTGGGGCCTTCGGCGGAGACCCCTACAGAGCCCCGAAACGTTCTCCAGTGTGCGGGGGACGCATGGTTGAAAAGGGAGGAGGGAGAAGGGGGCGAGGCGGTGAGGAGGAAGGAACGCGGGGCACCCTTTTTGAAACGAGAACCTATAAAGCCACAAGATGGTTGAGAGAGGCGACGCTGGCGAAGAACAAATTGGGGGATGGCCCCCCAGAACCGCTTCCAAACCCGGGCATTCCGAAAACATCGGCCCCTTGACCCAGAGCAAAAAAGATATTGATCCCGCCGGTCTCGTTCCAAAGCGCACAATCGCAATGGCGTGTCCAGACGTAGAAAAGCCAGGCCCCAACCGCTTCAGTCACACGCAAAGCCAACCCAGAGCGACATCGAGGCGTTTTCAAACTGCCGCATGGGCGAAACGTATGGGGGAAACTTTCACATGCGCAGGCCGCCTTCCGAGAAACAAAAAGACGACCTCGCACCAGCAAGCGCGTTCAACTTTCGCCCCCCCCCCGTTGACGCCACCCCCAAGTGGAGCTGAAGGAAGTTCTGCGTTTCGCTCCAACGGCTCGACAAATGCCCAGCCCATGCTGGCCACCGTGTGCGGCAATGTTACCCATGTCCTCCTAGATTGTGAAGTACGGACCCTTCGCTCGCCATGCCAGGAACTGATGGCAAACATGGTTAACTGCGAAGCGGGTGCGACATTATTAGCCGTCATGCTCGGCAGCCGCAACTCTCTCGTGGCCGCGCGCCTAGCGCTCAACAGTGTCAAGATTGCTACGGACGAGGAGGACCAGGATAACGACAACGGGGACGGCGCGGAGGACCAAGGGGAGGAGCAGCAGGAGGATTTCGACGACGACGGCGACACAAGCCGCCGTCTCCGGCTGGGTTCAAGGGCACGCTCTCGCTGGAGCCGAGGAAAATGCAGACCGCCTTCATCATGTGCGGATTTCCTCTCAGGGGAGGGAGTTGGGGGAGGAATGGGCAGGGGAGGGGGGAACGGCAGAAGAGAAGGGGAAGGGGTCGGTAATAAAGGGTGTGTTGTCCGGGGCGAGGGGGCGCACGGGGGATGAAGGAGGAAAGAGGAGGAGGACATAGATGAAACTGTATGGATATACAGGATGAAACTGTATGGATATACAGGTACCAGTATGACCATCATAAGATCACGTGAGAGCTAATTCTGCAGCTTGAAGGGTACGGCATGCAAAACACTTTATATAATACACGAGCGTGTTGGTACAATCATAACAATGAATGGATAGATACATATATATACACATCGTACGTTTACAAGATGTCACCGGCTCGCTGCGCTTCGCCTTTACAATCAGAAGGCTCATAGGGCTCACAGGGCTCAAAGGGCATATAGGGCTCATGAGCTCGTAGGGCTCCGAGGGTACATAGGGATTATAGGGTTCAGACGGCTCATAGGCCTCATAGGGCTCCAAGGACTCATAAGGCTCAGAGGGCTCAGAGTGCTCATAGGGCTCATAGGGCTCATAGGGCTCATAGAGCTCATAGGGTTCATAGGGCTCATAGGGCTCATAGGGCTCATAGGGCTCGTAGAGTTCATGTGCCTCATAGGGCCATTAGGCCTCATGCGGCTCATGGGTCTTACAGGGGTCGTAGAGCTGAGAGGGCTCATAAGGGTCATAGGGCTCATCGCGCTCATAGCGCTCATGGGGCTCATAAGGTTCATGGGGACCTTGAGGCTCATAGGGCTCATCGGACTCATGGGTCTCATAGGGCGCATAGGGCTTACAGGGCACATGGTACTCATAGGATTCATAGGGCTCATAGGGCTCATGAAGCTCATAGGGCTCATAAAGTTCATAGGTCTCACAGGGCTCAGAGGGCACAGGGGGCTCAATTGACTCATAGGGCTCACAGGGCTCACTCACAAGGCTCAGAGAGCTCAGAAGGCTCGAAGGGCTTATAGGGCTCAAAGGCCTCACAGGGCTCATAGGGCTCATAGTGCTCACACGGCTCATAGGGCTCGGTTGGCTCGAAGGGTTTATAGGGCTCAAAGGCCTTACAGGGCTCATAGTGCTCATAATGCTCACAGGGCTCACAAGGCTCTCAGGGCTCAGTGGGCTCGTGGGGCACATGGGGCTCAAAGGGCTCATAGGGCTCAGTGGGCTCAGAAGGCTCTTCGTGTTCGTAGGGCTCATAGGGCTCATAGTAGTGATGGTGGTCATAGGGCTCATAATGCTCACAGCACTCATGGGGCTCAGAGGGCTCAAGGGGCTAGAACGCCTCATAGGACTCATATGGCTCATAAGGCTAAGAGGGTCATAGGGATCACAGGGCTCGTAAGGTTCATAGGGCTCATAGGGCTCATAGAGCTCATAGAGCTCATAGGGCTCATAGGGCTTATAGGGCACATTGGATTCATAGGCTCATAGGGCTCACAGGGCTCATAGGGCTCACAGGACAGGGCTTACAGGGCGCAGAGGGCTTCTAGGGCTCAAAAGCCTAATGGTGCTCATAGGGCTCATAATGCGCATAGGGCTCTAAGGCCTCATAGAGGGTCGGGAAATGGAAGAGGGTGAGCAGTAGTGAAAAGGTAAGGGAGCGGAAGCAGCAGGTGATGAAGCATGAGTGCAAAAAGCGGGAGGACGAAGAGCCAGAGAAGTTGCGAAGCAGAAGAAGGCAGAAGGTGGTGGAGGAGGAGGAGGAGGAGGGGGAGGAGATAGCGGGGGAAGAGAGACGAAGAGCTAAACGAATGCGTGGAAAAGGCGGAAAGACCTCGAGAAGTGATGTGCCCCAATCGAGAGGGCCTCGGCAGTGTTCTCTCGCGATATCCTGCTGCTCGTTCGGCGTGCGGTCTGGGGAAGGTCGGAAAAGCAAGAGCGTGCAGATGTGTGAGCTCAAACGAGGTGAAAGGCTTTACCTTTGGGAACATTGAGGACCTCCGCGGGACCGGCCGTGAAACGATCCTGGGCCCCTGTCGGGTTTTTTTGAGCAGACGCGCGGCCATCCTGTGCCGTCCTGGGGCTCTTTTGAACTGTGTTGTGGAGATTGGGTCGCCCTGGGGCCCTCTCGAACTCTGTCTTGGGTCCTCTTGGGGACCTCCTGTGGCTTTATTTGGGCTCTCTTGGGAGCCGTTTGAGAAGTACCAGGGGCCGTCTTGGGCCATTTGGGGCTCTCTGGGGCCGTCTTGGACTCTTTTGGTCCAAGACGGGCGTTCTGTAGCGCTCCGGGACCGCTTCGGAGCTCCGCCGGACCGGTCGCGAAATGATCCTGGACCCGCTCGGCCGACGTAGGATGGCCTGAAAGGGCTCCCGGACCCGAAAATTCGAAGTTCACGACGGTGGGAGCCCCCAGGGCCGAATCCCACCAGCCCTTTAGGGCGTAGGTGGTCTAGAGCGTTTCCTCTGCCAACCCCCCTTCTTTCCCTTCGGGGAGGGGTTTACCCCTCCCCTTACCCCTCCCCACTGACCTGGACGGGGCGTTCCGCGACGCGTTGGGACGCCCAAGATGGCCCAAGACTGCTCCAAGAGCGAAAAGGCGAGAAAGCACAAAACATTGATTTTCCTTAGGTTTTGGAAGGATTTTGGCCTCTTGGGGGGGCCCAAGAGGCGATCCGAGGCACTCTAGAGGGGCGAGGCTAATTGAGGCTCCCCCCTTCTTTGATATATATTCCCAACATGGCCCCAAGAGCGCCCCGAAGGCTCCCAAGAGCGCCCCAAGAGCGCCCCAAGAGCGCCCCAAGAGGGCCCCAAGAGGCGCCCAAGATGCCTCCAAGAGGCTCCCAAGAGACTCCCAAGAGGCCCCAAGAGAATCCAATATGGCCCAAGACGGCTCCAAGAGCGAAAAGGCGAGAAAGCAAAAAACAATGATTTTCTGTAGGTTTTGGACGGGTTTTGGCTTCTTGGGGGGGGGCCCAAGAGGCGACTCGAGGCACTCTAGAGGGGCGGGGCTAATTAAAGCTCCACCCTTCTTTGATAGATCTCCTCCAAGATGGCGCCATGAGCACCCCGAAGGCACCCAAGAGCGCCCCAAGAGCGCCCCAAGAGAACCCCAAGAGGCTCCAAGAGACGCCAAGAGGCGCCCAAGAGGCCTCCAAAAGGCTCCCAAGAGACCCCCAAGAGGCCCCAAGAGGCTCCCAAGATGGCCCAAGAAGGCTCCAAGAGCGAAAATGCGAGAAAGCAAAAAACATTGATTTTCCATAGGTTTTGTAAGGATTTTGGCCTCTTGGGGAGCCCAAGAGGCGACTCGAGGCACTCTAGAGGGGCAGCGCTAATTGGGGACCCCCCCTTCTTTGATAGATCTCCTCCAAGATGGCCCCAAGAGCGCCTCGAAGGCTCCCAAGAGCGCCCCAAGAGCGTCCCAAGAGGGCCCCAAGAGGCCCCAAAAGGCTCCCAAGAGGCCTCCAAGAGGCCCCCAAGAGACCCCCAAGAGGCCGCAAGAGGCTCCCCGAGATACGCAAGAGGCCCCCGGGAACGCCAAGAGGCCCCAAAGACGGCCCAAGAGGCCCCCAAGCTCGCCATTGTCCTCCTCCTCCTCCTCTTTTTCTTCCTCCTCCCTCCTCCCCCTCCCCCTCCTCCTCCTCCTCCTCCTCCTCCTTTTCCTTTTCCTCCTTCTCGTCCTCCTCGTCCTCGCAGTCCTCCATATCCTCCTCCTTATCCTCCTTCTCCTCCTCCGCTTGCTCCTCCTCGCGCTCCTCCTCCTACTCCTCCTCTTCCTCCTCCTACTCCGACGACGACGGCTCCTCCTACATCCTCCCCCTCTTGGGGGATATGGCGGCTCACCCCGCCCTTTGTTCTTCTGCATGCTCCCCCGCTCGCCCCAAGAGGGGCCCCAAGAAACTCCAAGAAGCGCCCCAGAGGCTTCCAGGATGATCCCAAGAGACTCCCAAGATGCCAAAATCCATCCAAAACTCTGCAAATCAACGTTTTTGGCTTTCTCGCTTTTTCGCTTCCAATGGCCATCCGAGGCCTGAAGATGGCTCCAAGATGGCCCAAGAAGGCACCAAGAGAAGCCCAAGAGAGCTCCAAGACGGCCCCAAGAGCGCCCAGGAGCGCTCCAAGATTGCCCCAAGAGCGCCCCAAGAGCGCCCCAAGAAGGCCCCAAGAGGCCCCAAGAGGCCCCCAAGATGCCCCCAAGAGGCTCCCAAGAGATCCCCAAGAGGCCTAAATATGCTCCCAAGATGGCCCAAGACGGCTCCAAGAGCGAAAAGGCGAGAAAGCAAAAAACATTGATTTTCCTTAGGTTTTGGACGGAATTTGGCCTCTAGGAAGGCCCAAGAGGCGATTCGAGGCACTCTAGAGGGGCAACGCTAATAAGCAACCCCCCCTTCTTTGATAGATCTCCTCCAAGATGGCCCCAAGAGCGCCCCGAAAGCTCCCAAGAGCGCCCCAAGAGCGCCCCAAGAGGCCCCAAGAGGCCCCCAAGAGGCCTCCAAGAGGCCTCCAAGAGACTCCCAAAAGGCCACAAGAAGCTCCCCGAGATACGCAAGAGGCCTCCGGGACCGCCAAGAGGCCCCAAAGACGGCCCAAGAGGCCCCCAAGCTCGCCATTGTCCTCCTCCTCCTCCTCTTTTTCTCCCTCCTCCCTCCTCCCCCTCCCCCTCCTCCGCCTCCTCCTTCTCCTCCTCCTCCTCCTCCTTCTCGTCCTCCTCGTCCTCGCCCTCCTCCATCTCCTCCTCCTCATCTTCCTCCTCCTCCTCCTCCTCCTCCTCCCCCTCCCCCTCCTCCTCCTGCTCCTCCTCCTGCTCCTCGTCTTCCTCCTCCTACTCCGACGACGACGACTCCTCCTACATCCTCCCCCTCTTGGGGCGTATGGCGGCTCAACCCGCTCTTTGTTCTTCTGCATGCTCCCCCGCTTCCCTCATCACCTCCACTCCCCAGGGCCCATTTCTGGACGGGCTGGTGGGGATACGCGAAGCGTCTAGAATTTCTGTATGTGGGGGGGGTCCCTTATAATAATATTCAAGAAGGCATACATAT